TGTCAGCGTCATGTAAACTAACACGTGACACCTGGAACGTTTCAGGACTGTTTCTGTGACACTATAATGTTAGAAAATCTGTCCACGACAGCAAACGTTTCAAAGACACACGGACAGGAATGCTTTCGTTTGTTTGTGAGATGACGAGTAAAACAAACTGCGTGAGCTCTAAGAAATAAACGGAGACTCATGTCATGAAACGTTCCAGGTGTCACGTGTTAGTTTACATGACGCTATATGTATGATTAAATCTGAAAGCAGCACTGCATTCACAGTTATCACACATTTTAATACTATGATATTCATGATAACATCTTTTGCATAATGTTTACTCACTTTCCATTTGGACATCACATAAAATTCTCAATTGTCTTTATATATGTATGTATTTCTTCATCATTTATAATTCTACCACCTGACATAATTGAGTTATGAACAAGAAGAATCATGAGACATTTCTTTGGCCATGAAGTTCTTTACTCTCTATGATACAGAACTTGATCAATATTAAGGTCACAGCATGAAAAAGCAGAGCAGCTGTGGAAAACGTAGCTGCACACATCCTCTGTTCTTCACTCTCTGCTTCAGTTTCATGAGCAACACGTACGGGGAACCTGTGAAAACGTTCTGTCAACATTAAAAGGATGCAACGACAAACACAACATTATCAGTCTCACAGTTTACGTCACATCACACTTGTGGCATCCTGCACAAATACACAACTCACTCCATAAACAACAGGGTTCAGAGTGAAAACTGTGCATGTTTTCTCTTTTTACAAAGATCTCCTTCGTCCTAATGCAAGCTCAGAGGTCTTTTCCACATACACACACACACACACACACACAGAGACACACATTCTCAGTCACACACATATATATGCATTTATATTTATATATTTGAGGATTTTTTTAGCTGAGCACTTAGACAAAGTGTACATTCTTTACATTCTGTGGCACAGATGCTGATCCATACATCGAGTACATTGCATTAAAAAGCATTTCTGCGTGTGTCTTCTACTCTATGCTTTACTTTTGTTTTATGAGCTGCACATGTGGGAGAACAGTTGTGTCAAGATCAGAAGGATATCATGCAAAACACAACAGTATGAATCCCTGTTAT